AAAGGCACTAGTCATATAAGGGCAAATTGATTCTTTAAATATTTTATAAAATAAATTACTAAATCCATCTGGACCTGGGGTTTTATACTCCTCCAAATTATTTATAGCTTTCATTATTTCATCTATAGTTATGTCTCTATTTATTTCTTCACTTTGTAATACTGTTAATTTAAACTTATTTATTTTTTCTAGATATTTTTTTATATCTTCATCTGTCGTAGTTTGAGGAATGTTGTATAACTTACTATAGAAATCATTGAATTGTTGTCCTATTAGTTTTGGAGTTACTGCAGTTGTTCCATTATTAATAAGTTTTTCTACTTTATTAATTCCCTTTTGTTTTCTTAATTTTTGTGATAGCAGTTTATCGGCTCTATTACCCTTAGAATAATATTTTAATTTTAGTCTATCTAAACTTTTAACTGTTCTTTCCATTAATTTTTGGTTAATTTTGTCTTTTAATGCCGATATTTCTTTGGAATTTTCAACTGTTGGATTATGTTTATTGCTTTGAGTCAACTTCCCTAATTGACCATAAAGGTGAGATAGACCAGTACCCCTATCAGTTTGGCTTTGGAGTTTAATGAAATAACCTCTTATTACTGCTTTAAAGGCGCACCACAAAGTGGATGGATCAATATCCTCTATGTTATTTTCTTTAAAATAATTGCCTATGTTTACTTCCATGAATTTTTTATTTGTTTCAAAACTAAGCAATCTATCGTTTAGACGCCAACTATATGGCTTTTTTATATTTTTTCCTACTTCTATTACACATACTACACCATTATGATCTGTCCAAACTGCTTCATTTATATTTACTTTTTGAATTTTATCGATTAAATTAGGATCAATCCAAATCATATCTAACCTTGAATAAGAAAAATGGACTTTAGAGAAGTGTGTATAATCTCTTAGATTTAGATTATGAATCCTCCAAATGTCGAACAGATTAAATTCATCCTTTATGTTTTTTAAGGATTTAGCTTGTTTAATTACCATCTTATTTATTTTAACTCCTTTCATAGTTCTTTTATCTAGTTGTGGGTCGATAACTGCATTAAAATCTCCAGCCAATATTAAGTTTCCCACTTTTACTTCTTCTATTTTTTCTAAGATGGATCTTAAGTAAGAAGCTGGTGAATAATTTGGGAGATAGACATTACAGAGTGTAAATATCTTAGAATTGATTTTACATATTATTATCAAGTATCTACCTTCTACATCTTGTATTTGTTGAATTATTTCTACCTCTATTTTTTCACTGAATATTATGGCTACACCACATTTTTTTTTATCTCTATTTGAGGCTTGTATAATAAGCGGGAATTTTTTTCCACCCCACGTTTGTTTATCCGACTGTCTCCAATGGGTTTCTTGCAGAAATCCCAGATCAATATGTTCAGTGACCAAATATTTATATACTAAAGACCTTTTTGTTATTGTATTCATGCCTTGGACATTGAGAGTTAACATTCTTATCATTAGAGTTCTTCAAAACTCTTTCCTTTCATCTCGAGATAGTAAACTTCCCTTTGGTCCTCTATTGCTATACAAACACACAAAAAACAAAGAAACATATATCTAAAACTATAGGAGAATATCATCCTCCTTAAGCACATAGACTATTGACTCACCAACAGGAGAGTCTGTCTAGTCCTATGTCTATTATATAGACACTAAGTAGGATTGTCCGGATTTGGGATTTGGGCGATGTTCTATAATAAAACCTTTCAGTCTACTTTACAACAAAGGAAGAAGAAAAAAAAAAAAAAACCCTAATCACTCAGTCAAATATAGCCGTTATAAAATAAGTGTCAATTAAGTGAAAAATATTTATAATGATCCATTTATCGTCGTGTTGCATTACATTATTTCCATGTGACCTATCTTTTTCCCTATTTCTCCTTTCTGTGCCCTTTATATGCAGTGATAAATAAATCAATCCATACAGTTTTTCTAATTCAATCTTGTGTACTTATATACAAATTTACTTTTTAGCAAATTTAACCTTATTGAACCAACTCATTATTTCTTATTAGTGTTAATTATACTTGCATGTGTCGTATTTTGTGAATCTAGTGAATCTATCTTTCCATTCTAACTCCTTTCTATTTCTCTTCCCTTCGCCATTTCTTGCTAATACATGTGTAAATAATTTCAACAAATTTTATCCTCTTTTACAAAAAAAAAAAAAAAAAAATTATTATCTCCGGCCAGAAAGAAACGCATATATTAACAGCCTAATGGGTAGTCCTCTTAACTACAATGTGAACAGATATTTATAGAGACTATTATATCTCCTTTTACTTCAACAACTTCATATATTTTTTTTTCATGTGCTTTTATACATTACAAATATCCTAAACTGCAGCAGTATGCATAAAGAATATTAAAGATGCTATTGTTATGCATTGCAAATAGTGTAAGCTTCAACCATATGCATATAAAAACTACATTTCTTGTATAGCGTTATAATAATAGACTCTCTTCCTTTTAGAATTGACATTAAAAAATTACATATATCACAAAAAAAAAAATAAAAAAATTTTCCTTCCCTTTTCTCTTCCTTTCCTCCCCTCCTTCCTTCCCCTCCCCTCCCTTCTTCTCTCTCCCTTCCTCCTCCTTTTCGTTCTACTTCCGCGGTCTGGTTGTTTTCATGTTTGAATTCTTGCTAACCAACTTTTCGCGTCCTCCGGATCGGTGAAGGAAAGTCTTTCTTGTCTCCAAATGAATTTCAAGGAAGCCGGAGTATTCCACTGAAATCTAATATCTTTTTTCCTCAGAAAGTCAGTAAGAGTTGAGAAAGACTTCCTCCAAGTTCTAGAAAAATAAGATAGATCTTGCAGAAAATATATATCTTTATAAACAGGATTTTCTAAGGAGTTAGTGCGTCTGGCTTTAATCAAGTTATTTTTAACTGAAAGTGAACGGAAGCTCACTATAACATCTCTTGGAAAATGTGCAGCAATTACGTTAGGTTTTCGTATTCGATGGAATTTTTCTATTTGATAATCAGTTATCTCAGAAGAGACTTCTTTAAATAGACCGCATAAATAATCTTTTAATTTCTCTGTTGTTATATCTTCAGATATTCCTCTAAGTCTTAGATTAAGTTGTCTTGATCTGTCTTCTAGGGCGGCTATTTTATGTTCCAAAATTGAAGTTTTGTTTGTTAATGATTGTACTGTTTCATTAACTGTGCCTAATTGATTATCAAACAAGACAATTTTTTTTCCATAGCTTGCACTGATATAGCAATTCTGTTAGTATCGTGTTTTATATCTTCGAGACTCTTAAGCATATCTTGTTTTAGCATATTGAATTGAGCCTCTAGTAGTGGTTTAAGCTGATCCTGTAGAATTTCTTTCATTGTTTCAGGAACTAATGATAGTTCTTGCATCATTAAAGGATCCATATTGGTGTTAAGAATATTTACTGGATTTGTTTCATTATCACTTTTACGTTCTTGTATGTCTTTTAATGGGGTCGAAAAGAAACCGGACATCCTTTTTTCTACTGGATGTACTGACTTATTTTCCTTATTTTCTTTCTTTTTTTCCATAGCAGTTTTTCTAGTTGCCATTTTGTTTCAAAAAAAAAAAAAAAAGGGCTATCAAGCTATATTTTGCTTCCCTTCTCTTTCTTCTTTCTTCTTTCTTCTCTTTTACTCTTTGTTAAAGCCTTTGTCAAAGTCAGTTTTAATGTTTGTTTTATATTCTTTTTTCTTTCTTTTTTCCCTTTTCCTTCTCTTTTTCTTCCCCTTCCCTTCCCTCTTTTCCTTTTCTTCTCTGCTTTCTTTATCCTTTCTTTTATTTTCTTTCTGCCCCCTTTTTTTTTTTGATTTGATTAGGCTTATATATCAGCCTCAACTTATCTTTGCTTTAATTGCAACTCTCAGTTGTCAAACAGAATATATAAATTTTAAATGTGTCTGAGATATAAGCAGTTTATCAAGAGGTTAGGGAGAAATTCACTTTGCAATACTCACAAGATGTACAGCTTCCATCTCATTATTATAGAGAAGTCCTCCTTTACTTTTATCTGTCTTTGCCTTCGTTTGGCTATTCAATATGCCAGCAGCTCATAAAAGTATCACAAAGGCAGTTTATCCGTTTCAGCGTTTTTTTTTTTTTTTCTCCTTTTCTTTCTTTATTGAGCGGAGTGTAACAGCCCGGGCAAGGCTTAAATGCTCAGTATATGAGTTTAATTAGTGTTCTCCTTATCGGCCTCTGTCCCAGCAGCGTTTTCTTCCAATCGTCAAACAGCCGCCAAACAGCCGTCAAAACATATTCAGCGTGTGTACTTTCCACCACGCTTCTCTACCCGCTTCTCTACACGCTCAGCGCCCGTTCACCTCTGTTCCAGCAGCGTTCTCTTCCAGACATCAGACAGCCGCCAAACAGCCGCCAAACATATTTAGCGTTTAATTTCCTCCACGCTACTCTGCCCGCTCACCGCTCACCGCCCATTCACCGTTCCTCCGGGACCTCCCACCTCTTCGCACGCGTTACGTCATCACGTTGCGTACCGTGCATCACTGAAATATATATATTTTTTTAAATATCAAGACTATAAAAAATACTGTTAGACCAACATGATGCCTATTATACTACTTAACTACAAAAATGTAAATATTTCCTACTTATCTACAAAAAAATTAAAAATATATATGTTTTTTATTTATTTATGTAATATATATATATATATATATATATATATATATATATATATATATATACAGTTGCAAGAAAAAGTATGTGAACCTTTTGGAATGATATGGATTTCTGCACAAATTGGTCGTAAAATGTGATCTGATCATCATCTAAGTCACAACAATAGACAATCACAGTCTGCTTAAACTAATAACACACAAAGAATGAAATGTTGCCATGTTTTTATTGAACACACCATGTAAACATTCACAGTGCAGGTGGAAAAAGTATGTGAACTAGACTAATGACATCTCTAAGAGCTAATTGGAGTGAGATGTCAGCCAACTGGAGTCCAATCAATGAGATGAGATTGGAGGTGTTGGTTACAGCTGCCCTGCCCTATAAAAAACACACACCAGTTCTGGGTTTGATTTTCACAAGAAGCATTGCCTGATGTGAATGATGCCTCGCACAAAAGAGCGCTCAGAAGACCTACGATTAAGAATTGTTGACTTGCATAAAGCTGGAAAGGGTTATAAAAGTATCTCCAAAAGCCTTGCTGTTCATCAGTCCACAGTAAGACAAATTGTCTATAAATTCACTGTTAGCGAATCTACAATACGTAAAACACTAAACAAGAATGGATTTTATGGGAGGATACCACAGAGGAAGCCGCTGCTGTCCAAACAAAACATTGCTGCACGTTTACAGTTTGCACAAGAGCACCTGGATGTTCCACAGCAGTACTGGCAAAATATTCTGTGGACAGATTAAACCAAAGTTGAGTTGTTTGGAAGAAACACACAACACTATGTGTGGCGAAAAAAAGGCACAGCACACCAAACCTCATCCTAACTGTGAAGTATGGTGGTGGGGGCATCATGGTTTGGGGCTGTTTTGCTGCGTCAGGGCCTGGACGGATTGCTATCATCGAAGGAAAAATAAATTCCCAAGTTTATCAAGACATTTTGCAGGAGAACTTAAGGCCATCTGTCTACCAGCTGAAGCTCAACAGAAGATGGGTGTTGCAAAAGGACAATGACCCAAAGCATAGAAGTAAATCAACAACAGAATGGCTTAAACAGAAGAAAATAAGCCTTCTGAAGTGGCCCAGTCAGAGTCCTGACCTCAACCCGATTGAGATGCTGTGGCATGATCTCAAGAAAGCGATTCACACCAGACATCCCAAGAATATTGCTGAACTGAAACAGTTCTGTAAAGAGGAATGGTCAAGAATTACTCCTGACCATTGTGCACGTCTGATCTGCAACTACAGGAAACGTTTGGTTGAAGTTATTGCTGTCAAAGGAGGTTCAACCAGTTATTAAATCCAAGGGTTCACATACTTTTACCACCTGCACTGTGAATGTTTACATGGTGTGTTCAATAAAAACATGGCAACATTTCATTCTTTGTGTATTATTAGTTTAAGCAGACTGTGATTGTCTATTGTTGTGATTTAGGTGATGATCAGATCACATTTTATGACCAATTTGTGCAGAAATTCATATCATTCCAAAGGGTTCACATACTTTTTCTTGCAACTGTATATATATGATGATGTTGTCCCTTTTTTCTTTTTTTGTTTGTTTGCTTTTATGGCAAAATTGCACAATGTGCAATACACTTTTAGCACCTATGTGAAGAATAGTTATACTTAACTTGCCAGTGTATTTGCCAGTACAGGCTATGGACTCTGTGACTTTAAAGGAAGTGGCGCAACTTATTAAGGATAATACACTAGAAGCATTTGCTTAATTTTTATCTCCTTTTCTGAGTTCTCTAGTTTCATGTGCAGAAGAGCAAACAATCAAAAACAGGAAGTTGTACAATACACCAACCAGAGAAGTGGAGCGTGTAAGGTGTACTATAGGACACACCTACCCTTTATAGTGACGTAGGGTTTAAGATGTAAAATGGAGAAAAAAAGGGCACTACATGTGTGCTCCAGGCTGTTCTGAGAGGGAATACCGATATTGGTATTGGGCAATGCATGAATTGAATTGAATAGATAACATATCATAAATATAAAAGGACAAAAAGGCCCCCATAACTATTTTTGGTTTGGAGAGGAGTTCTACCTACAAATCTGCGGAATGGCGATCGGCACCAGGTTCGCTCACAGTTATGCAAACTTGTTTATTTCACATTGGGAACAAAGATTTGTATATGAGAATCATGAATGGGGTGCGAATCTGGTGCTATATTGCTGTTATATAGATGACATCTTTTTCATCTGGAAAGGTGATGAACCCTCTCTAAAGCTATTTTTATCATTTTTAAACAACAACGACTGGGGAATAAAATTGGAAAGCACATATCGCACAACTTGGATTAATTTTCTGGACTCGAGCATCTATATCGAGGGGGGGCTATTAGAACCAAGACCTACTTCAAATCAGTGGACATTAACAGCTACAACAGCTACATAGAGGAGAACAGCTGTCACAATCCCTGAAAATAATTAATGATTTTAGACAAAAGGGCTATCAGGAACCACTTTTAGAAAAAGCTTATGAGGAGGTCATTCAAAAGGAGAGAACAACATTACTAGAATATAAACCACCAATGGAGACCAATGACCAAAATAAGATTGCTTTTATTAGTGATTTTAATTGTAAATGTCATCAAGTTAAAATATTTTTTTTAAAATATTGGCCCATTTTGAAAAACGACGCTGTTTTAGATAAGATACTCCCTGATACACCAACGATTATTTATAGGGGAGCGCCGAAGTTAAGGGATATCCTAGTACACAGCAACATTACAAATAAGAAGACAGGAAGGAACTTTTTTAAAGAATCAAAGGGGTTTTATGGATGTGGTATGTGTGGGGCGTGCAAGAACACTGGCTCAAGGAAAAGACATATAACAACCTATAATAACCCACAGGATGAACAGGAGACATTTCCTATCAAACAACTTATTACTTGCCACTCCAAAAAACTAATTTATTTGATTATATGTTCATATGTTCCTGTAGCCTATGGTATGTAGGTAGGACTGGTTGAACCCTGAACCCGAGGATACAGGAGCATATAAGAAATATCAAAAACATAGTCTCTCATCCCACTTTTAAGTATAAGCATAACAGTGAGGCTAAACAACTCCAATTTGTAGAATTACAAAAAGTAGACTGTGACAAACTCCCCTCCAAGTGAGTTTTCCATGAGCTCCTGGAGGAGCCTGCTTGCCAGCCTCCTGCCATAGACTATGGGCCCTGCAAGTAAACCTGTAAAAGACTACCAAACTTGACCGACTGTTAGTACTGATTTCCCTGGAACTGTTTTGGGCATGTGGCAATGCTTGCGGTCGATCAAAACTATGACTTCCAGGAAATTCCTGAACCCCTGAACCAATCTGGGTGATTTTTGGATATGTTGTCAGGGGATGTAACTTTATGGGGTTTTGTGTGTTTTTAAGGTACTTCGTGGGGTTTCATAACATTGTTTGTTTTTTCTGTGCTTGGAGATAATTGGGTTAGGTTAGTACAGTTCCTGATTCAATTATCTCCCAAGCACAAAGGAGGGAGTCTATTATTTGTGTATGGGAGTGTCTCACCGTATGACTCTGTTTTTATTGGTTTGTTCACTTTGTGTCCCTGTGCCCAACAAGGTCCTCCTGGGAGTCACCCTTCTTGTATAAAAGGCCAGTGTGCCTCCAGTAAAATGCTATTCCAGCTTACACTCCAAAACTGTGTGTCGTCGTGTTATTGGAGGGAAATAAGATTTACTCTTGTGTCTGCTGTTCCAGCTTACAGGGGATTCAACAGGGAAAGTCTTTGTAAGGACTAGAGCTAATTCCCCATTCGGCTCCAGGAAGGAGCGGTTCCAGGGCCCTAGTCAAGCCACGGTGACTGTGGGCAGAAGTGCTGCGGTTTCTCCCCCATTCCAGCTAGAAAGCGGTCCTTGGCGGAAGTACCCAGCTGGGTTACAGGGAGCTCTGTTACATAGACTATGGTGAAAGTGGAGAGGCCTGCTTACAAGCCTCCTACATTGGGACTATGGGCCCTGAGATAACCTATGTTTAAAAGTACTGTTTCTGCCCCTTGGACTTTTAACTGGAACAGATTCAAATATGTGGCGGCGGCCATCTTAAATTGTCCAGCAGTGTTTTTCTGTCGAGTGTATGGAATTGTTTTGGGCATGGGGCCATGTGCACGGTGGGGCAAAAACAAGACTTCCAGGAAATTCCTGAACCCCTGAACCGATCTGGGTGATATGTTGTATTTTGGGGTACTTTTTGGGGTTTGTAAAAAAGTGTGTTTTTTCTGCTTAGAGTTAATTGAGTTAGTCCATTGTCTTCATTAATTATATCACAGGCAGAAGGAAGGGATTGTGTACACTGTATGGGAGTGTCTGAATGTAAACCTCTGTTTTTATTGGCCTGAATGTTTTGTTTTTGGTGCCGAACTAGGTCCATCTGGGCGTCACCTTTGCTTTAAAACTTGTATAAAAGACCAGTGTGTGCCATTAAACTTGCTGTTCCTGATTAACCCTCAATCTAGAGTCTTGTCTCTTATTGGGGGGAACTGCTACAAGGGATTGTTATGCTCTTCATACTCCATTGAACAATCACTAGCTCTTGTAAGAGCTGTTCCTGCTTCGCTCTCTGGGGAAAGAGAGGTTCACCCACTGGAACCTGGAGCCTTGTCGTAGGTCCAGGGTGGGTAGTAGATGGCAAGTCCCCAACCAAGCTGCAGTGGTTCGTGGGGTCTGCAGTGCTTATGGTGTCAAGTGGAGTGCTTGGATCCCTCGGGAAGCACTAGGAGCATCTGTCAATGGAGGTACCCAGTCGGGGTGCCAGGCAATCCGTTATAGTGGTGGCAGCGGTGGGATGGCGTCCTAGTGTGAGGAGAAGCAGCTAGGAGACACCGGTAACATGTGAATTATATTGAGGGCAACTCTAGTATTCGTGCAGTGCCCCTGTTTTCAGCAGTATGGAGCAAGCGAGTCCCTATGCAGCAAACCCATACGTGGAGGAGTTCCAGTGGAGGTTACAAGGCACACTCGTGAAGTGTGGCCCTGTGTCAGCCGAGGAGGAACTGGGCTATGGAGAATTTATAATGCAAGATCTCTGGCAGGAGGCCCTAGAGATAGCACGGCGTCGGCGAGAGTCTCCCTAGTGAAGTACAGTGGCTAACGAATTGCGATACAATACGGATGTGTCTCTCGGGAGAGCAACCCTTAGCGGAGTGGGTAAAGCACCTTGAGTTCCTAGTCCAGAGAGAGATGATGCTGGATGATTCATACATGGCACTAAGGTGGTATGCAGTTCAGCGAGACACTTGGGTGACAGTGTACCTTGCAGGGAGAGGAGACAACCTGTTTCTCCCCCCAGCGGCAGACAGAGTCACAAGGAGGGGAGACGGCTGGTCTCCCTCCCCAGCGGCAGTGTACCTTCCAGGGAGAGGAGACAACTGATCCTTTTCCCCAACCACAGGGAGACAGCAGCCCTGACCCCAATGGTTTAGATGGGACAGCGGTCTCTGCACCAGACCTACAGGGATGTTGGACGGCCGGTCCAGATCCCTAACCTACCCCGCAGGAAGATCCCTCCTTTCAGGAGGAGATCCCTCCTCTCTACAGCAGACCCTCAAGCAGGTCCTGGGGGTAGTATTCGCTGACCTAATCCCAGCAGAAGAGCTGCCATCAGGGCAGAGCGCATTTGGCCTCTATCCTCCCATTTTCCTTTGTCTCAGGCCACCCTAGCAGAAGCGCTGGCAACAGAGAAGAGCACAGTTGGCCTCTGCCCTCCCTTTGTCCTTGATCCTGGAACTGGCACCCCTCTCCATTGCCCAGCTGTAATGCTGGCTGCAGGGCAGAATACCTCTGGTCTCTGCCCACCAAACAACCAAGAAGCCAGGAGTACTAGTCTTTACTTGTGGGTGGGCTAGGGTGGGAAAGGGATTTAGAGGTGATTATTTCTGATGACTTAAAGGTAGGCAGACAATGTAATAGACCAGCAGGAAATGCTAGAAGAATGCTTGGTTGTATAGGGAGAGGCATTAGCAATAGAAAGAGGGAAAAAAATGCAAATATTAAAATAATAATAAAATAATAAAATAATATTATTAAAATAATGCAATATAATTATTATTATATTATTATTTTAATATTTGCATTATTTAAAAAAAAAAAAAATGTTTTGTCCCCCCTCCCTGACCAGGCAACAAGCAGCTCCTCTGTCAGCTCCGTTCTGCTTACAGTGTAAGTCTCGCGAGACTTACACTGGGAGAAGAACGGAGCTGACAGAGGAGCTGCACGGAGGAGAAGGGAGCTGATAGGAGCTGCAGGAAGGTAAGTAACAGCTCGCTGTCAGCCCCCAACAGGACCGCCGGGCTTGTAATGAGCCCGGCGGTCCTGGTCTGTATTGTGGCAATGTAAATTGCCACAATACAGACCTTGACTCGAGTATAAGCCGAGTGGGGGTTTTTCAGCACAAAAAATGCTCGGCTTATACTCAAGTATATAAGGTAAGTAGATATATATACACATATACATACATACACTGTCTAAGTGTATTTTAATATTAATAGATATATATATAATTATATATAATTATAAATATATATTAATTTAAAATACAAGTACAATGATATTGATTAAATATATATATATATATATAATTTTCATTTTATATATATTTATATATAATATAAAATAAATAAATATGTAAATATGTTAAAAATACAATAAAAAAGTGCAATGTGTAAATTCGTTCTAACTGTATTTTAAAATGTATATATATATATATATATATAGATATATATAGATATCAAAATACATGTAGAAAGAAATAATATATATATATATATATATATATATATATATATATACATAAGATGCAAAAAACAGATACAATACCTTTTTTATTGGACTAACAGAATTTTGACAAGCTTTCGGGAGAACCTCCCTTTCTCAAGTCTGAAGAATTTAAGGGAGGTTCTCCCAAAAGCTTGTCATTAAAAAATTCTGTTAGTCCAATAAAAAAGGTATTACAAGATACAAATGTTATCTGTTTTTTACATCTACATCACTGGACTAATGCGGCTACAATCTCTACTTTTATACATAAGTATATACGTATATATCACTATATTAATACCTATATATAAATAAAAATTATTACAAAAAATTATATATATATATATATATATAAAGATATATACACACGTGTATATATATATAATAATTCTACGTATATATTTATGTAATAATTTTACATAATTAGGTAATTTTATTAATTACAATTTGTGCGACCGGCCTGACAACCCAGGCAAAAAGTCCAGGGAATTTAATTTGCTAGCATCATATTTAACCCCTTAAGGACCAAACGTCTGGAATAAAAGGGAATCATGACATGTCACACATTTAATGTGTCCTTAAGGGGTTAACCCTGTAACTTACCAAGACACCATAAAATCTGTACATGGGGAATATCTTTTTAATTGGAAAACTTTGCTGAACAAAAACATTAGTGTTTCAAAACAGTAAAATGTATTACAACGACGATATCGTCAGTGAAATTGACATTTTTTGCATTTTTCACACACAAATGGCACTTACACAGACGATATAATTGTTGTGATACGTTTTACTGTTTTCAAAACAATAATATTTGTGTTCAACATCGTCTCCCGAGTATAACAGTACGCCTCATGTACAGGTTTTATGGTGTTTTCAAAAGTTACAGAGTCAAATATAACGCTTGCATTTCAGTTTTTTCACATTTAAATGGTTTGTTATGTTGCCTTTGAGACCTTACTGTAGCCCAGGAATGAAAATTACCCCCATGATGGTATACCATTTTCAATAGTATACAACCCAAGGTATTGCAAATGGGGTATGTCCAGTCTTTTTTTTAGTAGCCACTTAGTCACAAACAATGGCCAAATTTGGCGTTCAAATTAGTTTTTTGCATTTCACACACAAACAAATATTAACACTAACTTTGGCCAGTGTTTGTGACCAAGAGGCTACTAAAAAAGACTGGACATACCCCATTTGCAATACCTTTGGTTGTCTACTTTTGCAAATGGTATGCCATCATGGAGGTAATTCCTATTCCAGGGCTACCATATGGTCTCAAAGGCAACTTAACCAATCTGGCGAATTTCAATGTGAAAAAACTGAAAAATGCAACATGCTATATTTGACCCTGTAACGTCCCAAAACACCATAAAACCTGTACATAGGGGGTACTATTTTACACATGAGACATCGCTGAATTCAAATATGTGTATTTTATTTCAGTAAAAGCAAACAGTATTATGATATTCACAGTTGAAATGTCACATAGAACTAAAAAAATTCTTATTTTCTCCCATTTTTTTTATATTTTATTCATATTAAATTATGTTTCATACCTAAATATTTTATGGTAAATGAAAGCCCTGTTTCCCCTGAATAAAATTATCTATAATAAGTGTGGGTGCACATAATATGAAAGAGGCGAATTACGCCTGAACAGACATACAAGTTTTTGTTTACGTTTTGTTTTGATCACAACGTGTACATTTGGCTCAGTCCTTAAGGGGTTAAAACTCGATATAATGTAAGCAAACAAAAAAAACATTCTCTCTATAGCTCTAGAGGAAATATATACTAATTATCTTTGGCATTTATAAAAGTTATGTCTCAGTTATGCTCCTTAGGGTGAAAAAATCCAGGGGGTAATAGCTGCGAACTAAGCAGATATTTAGCAAACCAAATCACCTCTCAAGATACAAATAGTAAAGTTCAAGATAACTAGCTCACAACTAGTTCTCAACTGGTTCAGGTGATGTTCACTTTTATTTCCTCTTCCACTCAGGAAAGAGTTAGGTAACCCTGGAGATTCAGTTCCAAGGAACAAAGTAGGTGAAGGCCATCTTTGTGGATATGTGCCACAGTCACTTTTCTATTCCTTGTGATCAGTAAATGAGTGGAGGCTGTGATAGATTCAGGAACTCCCTGCAAGTTGTGTTTGTTCCTCCTAATTATGTCCTCTATGTGCATTAGTTTAGCTTTGTATGTGTAAGATTAAAATTAAGACCTCTTTAATTGATCACTTCTTTGCCATGGACTTCTCTGTAATTTAGCAATCTCTGGTTTATCTTGCAATTTCTTGCAGTGATGGGAAGAGGTTACTATGACACAGACACCTGTTGCTCACAGTAAACATCTCCAAAATGTTTTTGCATATCACAGGTTATATTGTGTTCTTTAACAAGGCATGATTTAACTCTTTATCCAATCAAATAGTTACATCTACTCTTAATGTATAGAGAGGGTAGTAAAAGGGGGGTGATGAGTTTTGGACTTTCCTACTGTTATTAGCTAGATCAGCAGTATGGATGGTGTTTAATTGGGAATTTACTAATATTACAATGCAAACATCAGTAAGAGGCTAGGATTTAGGAAAGAAGGTATAAAGTCCAAACTTGTTAACAATTAAAAAGCTTACTATGCTAAAACTTCAAAACTTAGACTAGGGGTTTATTCACTAACATATTAAATATTGAAAAGCATAAATATGATAACATTACATCAGTATGTTTTCTAGTTGCTGTACTTTGTCAGCTAGGCCATTATGTGCTTCTGCAATATAAAAGCAACTATTTTTTTTATCTATGTGGATTAAGGTGTTTTCTTCTGAAGAATTATTGTTATCAAGTTGAATGTTCAAAAGCAATGTCCGGCTGCTGAAGAAGATGGCCACGTGAACGAGCTGCTCCTCGTGGCCCCAGCAATAATCTCGCTAAACAGAGCTTACCCCACGTGCAATCAACTCACCATGGGGCGCACAAAGAAGCTAACGGAACCCCAGGGTACCCCCAGACCATCGGAATCTGCGGCCAAGCCATCTATCTGCTCCTTCCTCACAACTCCACGGGACTTCGCGTCCCAACCGGAAATGAAGGCCTCAAATGAGACCACGACCCCCGTCGGATTCTCTCCAGCTTCATCAGCCTCGTCGGAAGTGCAGGGGACACTAAATGGGGACCTGCGAGCTCTCCTGCCCAATCTGCTTATCAAGGCAGATCTGGAAGCCCTCTCAGACCGCCTCAGCAGAGTTATCAGGAATGAACTGGCCCAGGTGAGGGCGATGTAGCCTCTATGGACGCACAACTTACGGCTTCAGAGACAGATACCAGAGCCCTCCGGTCTGACACTGAACTCACCTAACCACCTGAGGCAATGATCTCGATAATAGGGGCCGCAGGCTTAACCTCAGAGTCCGGGGGGTGAGGGAGGGGGGCCCGACAGAGAACCTACCCGAGATCCTACGCAAAGTCTTCAGCCATGCCCTGGGAGGACAACAAATCCACAGACTGGGCCTGGTCAGAGCCTACCATGCTCTGAGCGCACCACCTGCAACGGGCGAACAGCCATGGGATATTGTCTGCTGCCTAGACAATTTTGCCACGAAGGAAGATATCCTGCGTGGCGCAAACCGCATGGGCATAATCCGCATCGATAACCAGCATATATCCATCTACCAGGACCTCTCCCGCTACACCCTGCAGGCATGAAAGGCGCTCAGACCAAAAACCATAGCAAGTGGCAGGTATTCCTTACAGATGGGGATACCCCTTCTCTATATCCGCACGCAGAGGACCGGACCTCCACGTTATACGGACCCCGAAGGATGTCCCTGGATTCCAGCGCTCCCTAGGGCTCCCGCTAGTACAGGTTCCGAACTGGCTGACCCACCAATTCATACGCCAAGCGATGGGCCCTCCACCCCCACCACCGGGCAGAGATCAGGGCAGGGACAGGCGAAACAGGACCGCCCATGGCACCCGGACCCAACAAGGCCAGAAGAATAAAACCTGTAGCAAGACACCCTAACACGCTAAGGGGGGACGAATCACCAACACGACCCTCCAACACTCAACAAACTTGTGAGTACTTTCCATTGTCTGGGGACACTGTCTATACATACACTGCACCACAGGGAGGGATATGACATACACCTTGGGGAGGGGGGCACGTAGGGGACCAGGACACAGATGCACATGGGGACTAAACTTAAGCCTTCCATACGGGGACACATTCGCCGCTACAGGCGGAAAGACTACAGGCCTACAAAACAGCGGACATTACAAGAGGCCTGGTTAATCCAAACTCACCAACGTCCACCAACGTCCCTCTAAGACTGATCACAGCTAAATAAGGCCTAACTGCTACAATTTGGTGGGAGGATGGGAGGAGGGGGGAGAAGGGGCTGTTATTAACTAGGCACAGAAGCATGGCACCCAGTGGGGCGAGCAGCCATAAGAGTAAATC